GCTTTTAATGTTTCCTAAAGGATGGCGTAATGGTGATTGGATGTGCAGTTGTGGCTTCCACAATTACTCTTCTCGTGCTCAGGTGAGGCTCGTTCCTTTGAGCATCTTGCATTTGATCATTGAAAATTTTGTCCTGAGACTATAATAGTTTGAGAAAGTGTATAATGAGACTATTTACCTTTGGTACAAGGTGGTCACAATTAATCTTGACCATTGGATGTGAAATTAGGTGGCTGCATTTATTTCATTGATCAAGCTCAAAGTTCAAAAGAAATTTTCTCAAACTTTGTGACACACGCAAGCTATCAGATTTCACATCGGATGGTTGTAAGTAATTGTGACCTCCCTGTGCCAAAGGTAAATAGTCTCATTGTATATAATCCCTAATAATTTACTCTTTTGACTGGAATATGATCAATCTTTTAAAGTTTTAATGCTTAATTATGTGAAGTCAAGATTGGTTCACAAGGATCTCTATCTTCCATTTACTGTCATAAATGGATCAGTTGGATTATTCTATTTTTGCAGTTTAATGTAGGATATGATTAGTCTGTATTTTATTTTGAAGAGTACTATGAGCTCGTTTAGTTTAGAATGAATTTATATTATAGCAACTTTGGTGTCTGCAGTGTAAAAAATGTTATGCGTCAGTACCATCCGCAGCACCCTCTTCTGTGGCGAATGCAGCAGTTTCCGATATGTTCCCTGGTAGGGAGTGAGCAATTCTGCCCACGTCTTTTTTTCAATGTAAAGGTGATGATGTGATGGTTCCATATTTGTCTTCTAACCAAACTGATGCAGTCGAAATTTGCCATATAGATGTTTTGCGTTTTATTTTCTGCTGCTGCAATGGATTTAGGTTATCAGGATAAACCTGATTAGTTCTCTAGTATTACACTGGAGAGAATATTCTATTTTTGTCCACTTTAAGTCGACTTAGGGATTGTATGCTTCAGTTGAATTTGTATTTCAGAAAACAGCTGCCGATTGATTCATTTTATTGATCCAAACCACAAGGTTATTGATTTTGCCTTACTTGTTTATCTGGTCCTAGCCTATCTTTATTTTCTGAACTTTGGGGCTTTCCAATTGCATTTTTATTCTTCACAATTTTACATTGTTGTCATAATGGTATCTAGTATTTGCTATCCTCCGATTGGGCAATCTGTCGCATTGACATGTGTTTAAGATCTTATGTGGGGATTGAAGATATGATCTGGTTGAAATGCTTGATGTTTTTATTTTCAGTGAAACCAATATAACACATGCTTTGCAAAGCACATTTGCTATGGGTTTCTCCATCAACCATAACATTAAGGGTGGCAACAGGTCAGGTTGGGTCAGAGTCCGGCCGGACACAGTTATCGGACCCGGACTCGATTGGACCCGACCGAAAAATAAAAAACAATGTATATTTAAATGTTATATTGAATGTATACATGTATTATTTAAATATTATTACAAAAAATATGTAGTTATATTAATTTAAATATTATATGTTAAATATTATTTATATAATAACACTATTTGGGTCGGGTCCATATGGACTCAAACCCCAATTGTGTTCGGGTCCAATATTTGGACTTGGAACTGACCCGCCGGGTCCAATTCTTTGACCCATACCTGGACTAGAGTCAGGTCTGTGTCTATTGCCACCCCTACATAACATCTCTAAAATGTTATAAGATAGAGATCATAACATCTTTAACTTGATTAATGTATATAAGCTCTATTGGATATGTACATCAACATATAATACCTGTTCTGTATGCTGCAGTGTTTCAAAAAGTGTTAGGCGGCACCCAGGCGATCATGGGGGTCCAGGCGACCATGGGAGTCCAGGCGCCCAGCGCCTAGGAGGGCGTCTTGAACCTGGGTGGCCCAGGTTCTGTCCCTTGATAGAGGGACTCATGGTGTGATTGAGGATATGGCCATAATCCCAGTTAAAAAAAAGAGATAAAAGTCGAGAAGAGAATTTTGATAATCCATAACACCATAATCTATATTTTCATAGAATGCTAAAACAGTAAAACCATACAAGCATACATTGATTGTCTGATACACTATAGACTGTACGCTCAAAAGTTAGATAGTAGAACTAGAAACTAAAAATAAGAAAAAGAAAATATACAGAAATTCAGAAAACATGTAGTCTAAGACACAATAGTCAACGCTCAACACCAAGAGTCTTCATTCTTCTGTCATCATCAGCATCAGAAGGAATAGGAAGCTTCATCATATGCATCAGAATCGAGGCCATCATCATCAAAGTCATCTCTTTTTTCAATATAACGCTCGTCCTCTTCTGTTTCTTCTGAATGTACCTCTTCCTCCTTCTCTTCTTCTACCTCCCTCTTACTAGTATGTGCAAATGAGGCCCTAGCAGTCTTGTCTCCTCTACACTTTTCTATCTTTTTGTGCTTCCCTAAACTCAAATATTGTATAATTTCCTCCCTGGTAGTCTCAGGAACATTTTTACACGGGGCAACATCCCCCTTAATACCGACAAAGTGTTTTTTAAACCGGTAAATGCCCCCATTAGTATCATTTCCTTAATAATTACATTTAATACGATTTTTATCATTTGGATTCGGGTTATAACCATACTTCCAACCTGGATCACCACTTCTAGGAGAATCTGGAGAAGACATTTCCACAGAACAAGGCTCATTTTCATCATTTTCTTGTTCTTTTAAATTTAGAAGTTGTCTAATCTCATCTCGAATAGCTTCAGGAACTTTTTTACGAGAACCAACATTCCCTTTAATACCGTCAAGATGTTTCTTGAATTGGTTAATACCCCCGTTGGTATCTTTTTCACAAAAATTACACCTTATACAATTTTTATCGTTTGGTTTTGGATTATAACCATACTTCCCCCGGATCACATCTTCTAGAAGTAGCAGAAATAGACCTATTCAAATGACGAGGATTTTGTTCATGTTTTTGTTTTACAGAACTCATATATTGCTTAATCTTCTCTCTAATAACTTTAAGAACATTTTTACAAGGGGCAACATCCTCCTTAATACCACCAAGATGTGTCTTAAACCGGTTTATGCCCCTTTTTGTATCTTTTTCACAAATAATGTAATTTTTGTCATTTGGATTCGAGTTATATCTATATTTCCAACTCAGATCTCCACTTCAACTCGATCTTGAAGAAAACATCTCAAAATAAAACAAACAATCTAAAAAATAAATTTTTGCACTTACTTTGATTGCTCGAACTCCAAACTCCCACCTCTGAGTTGTTTTCTGGTGCTAAAATAATAAAAAACACTCTCTAATAGGATTATAAAACTCCAAAACTAAATCAAATTTACTTGGGTGATGTTTGGATCCGTTTTTCGTAACTTTGAGAAACACTTTGATCCAATGAAAGCCACAAAATTTAGTTTTCTTGAGGTTTTTTTCTCTCTAAAATCTATTATTGTGGGTTTAGGTTTAAAATGAGCCTAAAACCCATCCTTCAAACCCTTTAAATTAAAAAAAAAAACTCCACCCTTAGGCAGATCGCAGGCCCTGGGAGGCCGCCCAAGGCTGGGCGCTGGGCACCCTCCTAGGCGGGGTTTCGTACGGCCTAGGCGGCCGCCCAGGGACTGCCGCCCAGTTTTGTCACCTAGGCTTGGGCAATGTGCACAGGCCTTTTGGACCGCCTAGGCACTGGGCAGTTCACTTTTTTGAACACTGGTATGCTACTAGTTGCTTGAGGTTTATTATCAATCACAAAATTTTCTTATTGTGTAATTGTGCATGTATAATGGATATACAATATTTGAGTGTTGTACTCAGAAAAGCAATGAGATACACAAATTTGATTATGATATGTCACTTTCTCACCTATGGACGTGAGGTAAATCACCTATAGCTTGAGTTACTAACTAATAGAATTTCTAATAGTGGGTTACTGCAGTATTCCTTGTATCCATGGTTCTGTTACAATTGCCTTTACATTTAGCACTTTCTTTTCACTTATCTCATCATTGTTTTGTACTTAAGCTCTAGGAACAAAACGTTTGGCGTCAGATGAATTTGGTAATGATTGGGACAGTAAAAGACTGAATGCTGGGGATATAAACAGCCAATTTATGGTATATGAAGTTATGAGCATTTTACATGGTGAATAATTCTCTTTCCTCTCATTGTGAAATTATTACCCAATTTACTAACAGAATGCTCTCTGATATTAGACCAATGGGCCACAGCTTTATCATGGTTTCGAGCAAATGGCAAGTTCAAGTAATGGTCAGATTTCAGGAATTCAAGCTCCTTTCTCCAATGGAAGTTTTGTAACAGCACCTAATATACCTATGGCTATGCCTGTGCCTGTGCAAGCACCTCAACTGCCAGGAGTGCCAACTCTCCTTGGGAAAGGGTAACAATGCATTTGATTCTCTGTAGTCAATCTGTCAGAAGTGGAAATGAAGCTTCTGAATTATTATTCTGCGGTGTCTTTGTTTCATTTTGGTAGGACATTCATTTTTGGAGATAAGTGCAATTATGAAGTGTCCTAGTTTTGCTTGGAGATGCTTTTATCTCAAGTGCTTCACTACTCAATACCAGTGACCAATGCAGAATGCTGGTGCGAGACGCCAGGGTGTCCCATGCACAATGTACCTGGAAGCAGGCATTTTGCTTCCTTTGCCAGCAATAAAAATAAAAAAATTTATACAATTATGAAAATTTTAAGAATAAAATAATGATTGGAATATGTGATATATGTGCTGGTAGACATTTTTATTTAGTATTTGTCTTAAATATGAACATTTTGCCTGAGGCTTTGAGTTACTGATGGAGTAACAAGGACATTTTTTGTCTCTACTTGATTCTCTAACATAAGGGAAAAGTTTATATAAGGTTGCAACCTTAAAATGTAGAATCACAGATACACCTCAAAAATCTATCGAAAATGTTGTTTTAATGTTGAAAAAGCCCTCTAATCAATCATCTCGACATCGAGATCTATGAATATGAAAAAAAATTTGTTTTTGAATCTCGGAAATAGTGCATCTTGTAACACATTATCTAGACCGTCCATTTTCAAGATTTTCATATATTTATAGATCTACTTGATTTTAACCATTTTTAGAATTTAAAATTTTCTAATTAGGTATGAAAATAGATTTTAAGATAATACTAAGAATGTTTTACAACAGAATTACATTTTATGATAAAATTTTAAGGTGCGTCTTAATTGGCAACCTTATAGAAACCGCACCCCTAACATAATTGGCATGTAAATAAAAGGATCCAATCAATTTATCAAATTTATAAAAGCACAAAAGAATACGTGAATATGTCAAGCACTTGAGTAAGATAGCAAGCATAATATGATGCTCTTAGAAGAAATTAGAAAATAGCAATTTTAGCATATTGCCAAATGCCAACCACTTGGCAAATACAACCAAAAACCAAAAGTTCAATAACAAAACACAATGACATACAGAACAAGAAGATAATTCACTAGACTGTCTGTCTCAAAATCAAAAGGAATCTTGATTTTACGATGACTTAAAATTGTGTCCCCAAAGTACTTGCATTGTGAGCACAAAATCAACTCAGGACCTTGCTGTAAAAATGCACGAGCTTTGCCCAAAAAATAAAATTAGTAATTTTATTTTTTTGATATTAATTGATTTAATCTCTTAGAACCAAAACAATTTGGTTCTAATGGGTTTTAGGGAAGTTGTATCACAGTTACTGGAAAAATGCACGAGCTTTGCCCAAAAAATAAAATTCGTAATTTTTTTATTTTGATATTAGTTGATTTAATCCCCTTAGAACCAAAACAATTTGGTTCTAATGGGTTTTAGGGAAGTTGTATCACCCCCAAACCCTTTCCCCCTTCTCTGTGGGGGAGTGGGGGAAGGGAGGAGACCAGAATAACCCTTGCACATGAGCTGGGTGGAATTATGCAGCTGCATAGTCTTTCCTGAATGTTGCCACCTATGCAGCCAATCCACCGCCTAGGCCAGCAAATCATGTCTGCCCACCTAGGGTGGAGCAAAGTCGTTTGGCCAAGGGCCACACTGCCTCAAAACAACTGCATTTGATAACCATATTTCTATGGATACTTGTTCATATATTCATACAAGCAAATAATTATATATATGGGTGCGGTTTGTATAGAGCCTAGGCTCTAAACAATCAAATTAGAGCCTACCTTCAAATAGTGTTGAGAAATGTGATTTCAATATTGGAAATCTTTGTGATAGCTTTAAAATATATTTTCATATTTATTTATAAAGTTTAAAGCTTCAAAAATAGTGTAGATCGACATATCTATGAAAATCTTGAAAATTTGACGGTCCAAAAATGCATTACAAAATACACCATTTCAAAAACTTGCAATCCAATTTTTTTCATGTCCATGCAACTTGATGTCGAGATGATCAATTTGAAGATATTTGGGCATCAAAACCACCTCTTCTAATGAAATTTTTTAGGTAGGTTCAAATTTAATTGTTTAGAGCTTCGGCTCTATATAAACTTTTCCCTATATATATAATCATCAACATAAATTTTATTTTCTTACTTTTTATTGTTAAATGTTTTTCATTGCTCATATAAGATGTTCAAATGGAACCCCCGAGAGGCTGTACAATAATTAACAAACATGGGTATGGTAAAATGAAAACAGAGAGGAGCATCTGTGCACTCTATTCAAACAGTGATTTCAGACGATTGTTAATCTGCCACATAAACCTTTAGCAATGATCCTTATATGGCTTCTCATATCATGTTGTCTGCATGTTTACACTTCCCTCCACATATGATTTAAGTGGGCCATGAATTCAGAGATCAAATCCAAAATTTTGAGATAAATGTCAGCAATGTGCCATGGAAAGCCATCCCCTTCCTTGGCTCATCTAGTGGCGTTCGCTGAATTGGCTTCAACCATTAGGTGCCCCAACTTTGGTTGAAGCATCTGAGTATTGTTACCAATGCTTGGATTTATGCTTTTAAGCATCAAGCTCACTTCTGTTACTACTTGATTATTAGCAATGTCATTTATAAAAAGGAAAAAAGCTTAAGAGACATCACAATATTTACTGTATTATTACATTTTAAAAATACCACCACCAATACAGGGTAGGGACAAGTTGTCAGTGAGCTTTGCATTGCAAAGTAATTGTATTGACACAGAATCATATACGTACATGGAGTTCATTTTAGTTGTCAATTGTTTTCTGGATTTTATTTAAAAACATATGACCATTTATTTAAGTTTTGATAGTTCCATTAGTGCATTACCCATTTTTTATTGATATCTTAATTATTCTCTTTTTCTCCTTACTAGCAGAGCAAAGCAGTGGAGAGATGGTGATTGGATGTGCACAAATTGCAATAATCATAATTTTGCATCACGTCTGCAGTGCAACAGGTATATTCCAACATTCCCCAGGCATTCTTTGATTTCTAGTTTTTAGGATGAAATTTTGGAAATTTTTCCACCTTCTGAAGTTTTTAGGAATCCATCTTTATCAATAAATTATACATGGACTTTTTCCGGGTGCAATGAATTTCACATCTTGAAGTAAGATATGCCTAAAGTGGTTTTACGATTGATATTGTATTCGTGTTGTAATTTCTTTATATGATTGGTTCTATTCATGTTATAGTTAATTCTTTTGAACATATTAGGTCTCATGTTATGACTTCTTAACATTAACAAAAGAATAATTGAAAGCCTTTCTCTTATTAGTGTCACCTCTAAAAGAAATTTGTTTTAATAATTTGGAAACAAAATAAAAATATATACTGTATATGGTTTGTGTACAATTGACATTGAGACTGCTTTAAAATTGATCAAAATAACACTTGTATATATCAGTTAGGATTCATTTTGTGCACTCCTTCTGTTTTTTGTTTTGAGTTTATTCCTGAAGAGAAAAATTATGCAGCAGCAGCACACTTTGAGGGCTTTGAGATGAATCGCATATTTTTAGGATATGTGAACTATAATTTAGAATGTCCTTTTTGGAGGAATGGTTACTCATTTCCATGACAAAAAGGATTGAAAAGCAAAGATGGATACTTCGTCAAAACCACAATGGCACTTGGGGAATACTCTGAGGTTTCAAAATACCCTGATCCCCTCCCTCTTTTCAACATGGTCGGCCATCTGTTGAGTTGATTGAAAATTCTATTCTTTGGTTTATATTCATGAATGCCAATAGTTATTCAAAGGTCTATAGGTTCCGTGTATTAAATGCAATAAGAATAATGGAAGTTAATTGTCATAATTTCTTTCATGTTGATTTATTATGTGATTGAGAACGGCAAGTTCTTGAATTTTGACATCGTAATTTTCAGGTGAGATTATGTAAGACTTTTGGGAATTTTGAATCTCCAGTTTGTTCTGATTCTATTGTATGAACCCTGTAGTGTTTGATAACTTTTCTGTTGTTTCACCTAGTATCACTGAGAATCTCTGGGACTTGAGAAACATCAGAAAATTTGGTGCAGTCACTTTCCTCACTTTGATAAACTGGCTGGAAATTAGTCCAGTTAGCTTTTCCTTGTTTGATAACCTGCCGGGGATATTGGTACACTGAGTTTCACATGGTGAAACTGTCTGTTTTAACCGTCTATTACGCAAGTTAGTAGTATCATGTTAAATTTTTAGAGATATTTTGGATACATCTCATCAATGGCCTTTTCTAAAATGTAGAATATAAATCATCCTTTTCTTTCTGTAAAATATAAATCACTGCCAAAGTTACAGATGGTAGGCTCTTCTTGAAGAGAGAGCGAAAGAGGGAGGGAGAGAGAGAGTAGGTACTTGTTGAAAGTGTAGGCTCTAGTAGAGAGAGATGAGATTTATGAGAGAGCTGAGCAGGCTCCTAGAGAGAGAGAGAGAGAGAGGGAAGGATATGGAGGAGAG